AATACTTATTTTACCTGCTGTATTCTTTAGTGACTTACAGGCTACGCAGTGATTTTCTCCATCATTAAAACACACAGGTGAAAAAATAAAGTCAGTAAAGTGGGAAAGCAGGAGATCATTCTAACCTTAACCAGAGCTCCAAACAGAAAAAGCAGAAGTAGCTACATTAACGACTAATATTTCATACCATAAATACAGCTGTTTCTGGACACCAGCCACTGTTGTTTGTCATTATGTCACTTGTTCTTACTTCCACTGACTGGACAAGCATTTTTTAAATCAAAACTAATAACAACTGATACAAAAACCATCATGACATTATGTCTGGATTTATGGCTCAGGAAGCAACTGTTCTAACCTCAGAAACACAGAAGAGTTCTGATGATATCTAGTGGCTCAAACGTGAGTTGCACACATGGAACTCAGTGGAGATGGGAAAAATCAGGTCAGAGCAGATAGATTGCAGCAGGGTGGATGACATATTTGTTTTACAAATCAGGTGGTCTCAAGAAATGTGTGAAAAAAATACTGTTCACATTTAGGCTGGTTATGATCATGTAGCCATGCCATACAAAACATACTGTACCACACCATAACATACCCAAGAGGGAGTAAAACATACAGTTGGGTCCATATATATATTTGGAGTAAAGTAATTGGACAGATTAAATAATTGTAAATAAAATGTTCATTTCTAGTACTTGGTTGAAAAGCTTTTGTTGGCAGTGACTGCCTGAAGTCTTGAACTCATGGACATCACCAGACGCTGTGCTTCCTCCTTTTTAATGCTCTGCCAGGCCTTCATTGCGGCGGTTTTCAGTTGCTGTTTGTTTCTGTCTGAGGTTTAGTCATTAACAAGTGGAATGTTCAATTGGGTTGAGATCAGGTGACTGACTTGGTCATTCAAGAATATTCTTCTTCTTTGCTTTAATAAACTCCTGGGTTGCTTTGACTTTGTGTTTTGGGTCATTATCCATCTGTAGTGTGAAACACAGACTGATCAGTTTGGCTGCATTTGTCTGATCTGAGCACACAGTATGGCTCTGAATACCTCAGAATTCATTGGGTTGCTTCTGTCCTGTGTCACATCATCCATAAACACTAGTGACCCAGTGCCACTGGTAGCCATGCATGCCCAAGCCATCACACTGCTCTGCTGTTTTACAGATGATATGGTGCTTTGGATCATGAGCTGTACCACACCTTCACCATACTTTTCTCTTTCCATCATTCTGGTAGAGGTTAATCTTGGTTTCATCTGTCCAAAGAATGTTCTTCCAGAACTCTGCTGCTTTTTTTAGCAAAGTCCAGTCTAGCCTTTTTATTCTTGAGTCTTATGAGTGTCTTGCACTGTGCAGTGAAACCTCTGTATTTACTTTCATGCAGTCTTCTCTTTATGGTAGATTTGGATATTGATACTTCTACCTCCTGGAGAGTGTTGTTCACTTGGTTGGCTGTTGTGCTGTTGTGAAGGGGTTTCTCTTCACCATGGAGATTATTCTGCCAACATCCACCACTGTTGTCTTCTGTGGGCACCCAGGTCTTTTTACATTGATGAGTTCACCAGTGCTTTCTTTCTTTCTTTCTCAGGATGTACCAAACTGTAGATTTTGCCTCTCCTAATATTGCAGCAATTTCTCAGATGAGTTTTTTCTGTTTTTGCAGCTTAAGGATGGCTTGTTTCACCTGCATGGAGAACTCATTTGACCGCATGTTTACTTGACAGCAAAATTTAATAAAAAATAGTTGTGGGCACAGGTCTCTGCTACTGTTATTTTGTGGGTCAAAAGCTGAAATGTTTGGGAACCACTGCCATAGACTACGTTTACTTCACAGCAAAACCTTCCAAATGCAAGTACCACACCTCAAATCAACTCCAGGCCTTTTATCTGCTTCATTGAGAATGACATAACGAAGGGATTGCCCACACCTGTCCATGAAAA